TATTTGGAGGAGCAGAAAAGAGGAGGGCCATTTTATTTATCTACATTTGCTTTAATGTATTCAAATGTGGAAAAGGTCTGGGGATCGCCTGCTACACACACACTGATATCATCGGTGTTTATTTGCTAATGCAGTAGCTCACCCCACCGGAACATGTGTCATGATGCCTACTTATTTAAGTTGTTCTAGCTTTTTCATTGGCTAAAAGCCCATCCACGTTTGTTGCTTTTCATTCTGGACATATTGTTTCTTGCCAAGTGAGGCTCAGCTTCAAAGCTCTCTCTCTCTCTCTCAGGTAGAAGCACAGCTGCCTGATCCCATCTAAACCTGACAAGTGGCTGGCCCTTTTCTCAGGCAAGTTCTTTTAGCATTACTACTCTTGAGAGTAGACCAGTTCAATAACTGCCACATAATTTTCAATACAGGGTGATGGTGGGTGGCTTGAAAATATCTGAATAACAGAACAGAGAACTCTTTGGTACTTACTTGTATTGAAAACAAAGAAGGATTTGGATCTAGAGGTACTGCTGAGAGAAGAAAAGACACTTCTACTAGTTTGGGAGGGCTCAGTAATTCCATTTTTATTTACTGACTCCATGCCCTCATGGAAACTAGTCTAATGAAGTAGGAGGATTTTTCAGAGCTATTTTTTTGTGTCCTCTCCCTTACATGTTTGAAAACTTAAGAATGCCCTACGTATTTAGGCAGATTTTGGAACCCTTTTAAAAGATCTATTTTGTGGAGAAATTTGCAAACACTATTCACACATTTTTGTAAAGGAGAATGATTTCTCTTGACTAGTAGAGAAATGTACCTGGACCTGCTTAAACTCCTGAGTCCATTTTCATAAATAATTTGGGGAAATTAATATGGATCAAGCCTATTATAAACCTATTTTAAAAATTTCAATAAATATTTCAAAGACTTATATTGGAAAAAGACTCCAGATTGTTGTGCCATTGGAACCTGATCCAATCCAAAATGTGGTGTAAAAAAAAGGGGGTGCAACAAGAGATGGTGATGCAGGGCAGCAAGAGGGTTCTTTTCTTCCAAAAGCACAATCATTACAGAGACATCTTGCCCTGAGAAGGCATGAGCCATGCCAGTTGCCTCAGGAAAATGTAATCTTTTGGCTGGATCTTCTTCTGAGAGCAGATTTCCCCTATACAGATCCCCGGGTCTCAATGTCTATTTTTCTTTAATCTTCATGTTCCCAGAAGTCCTGATGTGCTTGATTAATATAATCATTATTGTTATTTATTGACTAGAAGTCTCTGGGTAGCAGATAATGGCATAACCCTCACTTATGCCCGAATGTGCATTTTCAAGGATGTTGAAGAAGGAGGTAGTCTGTACCTTGTGGCACAACACACATCATATTACTTGCGCAACAGCCCCAGGGAGATTTTGGGTACATTCCTGTCCCTCTGACAACTCTTTGGCTATGGAGACTATTGCAGGCAGAAATTATTACTTTCAGTGGCTGAGATGAGCCAGAATGTATTTAAGTCACTGGGGGATGGAGTTGCACTCCATGAGTTTTCCTTGATCTCTGTGCCACAGTTGGGAAGGAAGAGGAAGCTGGTAACATTTCCTAGATCAGTGGTTCTCAACCTGTGGATCCCCAGGTGTTTTGGCCTATAACTCCCAGAAAACCCAACCAGTTTACCAGCTGTTAGGATTTCTGGGAGTTGAAGGCCAAAACATCTGGGAACCCACAGGTTGAGAACCACTGTTCTAGATGATGGGAGAGACCTATGAGCTATTAGTGTGCTCAATGGATCTCATCCTTTAGTGTACTATTATTTTCTTTCATACACATACACACAGTTCAAGTCACATTGATGCAGCACTTAATATGGTAGAAGATATTTTTCCATTGAGATCTGTGCCACATCTTTTCATTTCCAGTACAAAGTAGAAATACTTTCATCTAGAAATAAAGGATAAATTTATACTTTTGGGATGATGCACCCTCAGAATTTGTTATGAACTTGGTGGATGGTGAAACATCTCAAATATTTCCATTCCTAAAGAACCTTTTGAAGATGGCAGGATCTTCTGTTCATTGAAGACCTTGGAAATACCGTCAAAGGACAAGACTTTGAAATAATAATAGAAAAGGGGAAACAAGTTAAAAATGCCAAGCATAGAACAATTTATTTTATTGTTTGAGTGCACTAATTCACGTGAAAAAAGGCAAGAAAGTTAGAGTACAATAACAAAGGTTGGTCAAGCAGAATATCTTGAAGATTACTGAACACAGTATTTTTAAAAGCCTTCTCCCTATTCCTCTCAATTGGAGTCTTCTTGAAACATTGGCAGAAAGTGCTTCCCATGCAAGTGGGATGCTAGAACTAGGTTTAGGATAGTTTTTAAAGTGCTTCCGAGGTCTTGAACTTTTGTAGGATAAGATAAAGCACTTTGGATAGTTGCTTTAAAGTTCGGATTAAGCCATTGACTCCGACCCATACAAGGGTGCTCTTCAGGTTATAGAGAAAAGACAGAATGATCATTAAGAACATCTGTCTATAAGGAAATGTGGATAACACACGAGGAGACTGGAATACTATTTAATACCATTATTACTGCTCTGTCTAGGGACCTCTGTTAGGGTATAATGAAGACCAAGGATGGATGTGTTAAAGAAAAACCTATACTGCTGCTCATAACATGCAGGAGCTATCTAGGTCAGCAGCTAAGCAATGAAGTTTGGACCACACCCAGTGAGGTGTAGCTGTATGTGTGTGTTAGCTCCTGCTCCTGCTTTTGCTTTTAGCTCTCTCTCCTTTGGCAGAAGAAGAAGACGCTATGCTTTTTTGGATCTTGGAATGCTTACAAGGACTATGTAAGTTTGTTACATCATAAGATTTGTATTTGATGTAACTCTGCAAGTTTATGTTTGACTCTACTGAAAAGAGTAAAGTTTTCTGTTTTTCCTTTTGCAACTGTGCAAAGTTATTGTGTTTTTGTTGGACTAGACTGAAATCCACTTGAAGCACAACAATCTCATCATAAAGATCCCCCCTCCCCCATTTAGTTCTGTTTTGCTGGTAATTGCCGGCAATATTAAAGGTGCATGTGGTGCGTCACAGCAACACCTGTGTACTCCCTTTTTCCCCCATCACATGGGGGGGGGGGCATCAGAACAAGGTGCATTGGTGCCCTGTCCCCATCAACGTGTGTTACTGTCCTTTCCCCATCAGATGAAGGAGGGGAGGAGAGAACCAAAAATGTGGGACCCAAAGGATGCCTTATCTCCTGTTGTTGACAAGAAAGTGTTGCAACGCACTCAATGGGGTGTGGCCACTGCCAGTGTCATTTGATTGTTCATCAGGCTCCATCCCCAAAGAGCCCAAAGCCTCTAGTGCGATCTGGTGGTAGTGTTGTATCTCAGGCTAAAATTCACCTTGCTCTCTCTGACAAACCAGCCAAACTTATGAAGAAAGAAGTTTATTGTGAGGTTTCAAACAAATCAGAATATAAGCAGTAAAAAGTCAATAGTACAAGGTAAAAATCCAATAGATTCCCTTTGAGTCAAAGCAGGAAACTTGAAGCAAGAAGCAGCATAAAATCCAGGAAATAGCATGAGGTTACATGAAGCAGGCTTTCTTTCTCAAGGTCCAAGGCCCAGAGCAGGAGACAACGCAAGCCATTTTTGCAACGTTGAAACTGACGCCGAATCAGTTCCCAGGCAGTTTACTTATAGGTAAAACATCAAAACATTGAACATTAAACAGACAGCTAACAAGCAGTTTTCCCACCAACAGATGGGCTCAAGACTTGGCCGCAATTCGTAAACTCCTTCTTAACACCTGCGGCACAGTCTGACCTTCACTAGCTGTTTTATCAGCCACATTCCGTTCCTGTGATAACAATGGTTTCTCTCTAGCTACAGACTGTGGCTGAGAAAACTGAGAAATCTGAAATCCCACACCTGCATCTGTATTCCCATTCCCATCATGCTCATCTGCACCCTCAGTCCCATCATGCTGTTGCTGCTGAACCACAACAGGTAGGACACATTTAACTCTTTTAGTGCCATGTATTGTTGGATTTTGAACATTCATACCAGAGCTTATCCTTCAGTTAGCACTTGTCCTTGGTCAGGTAAGCAGCCTGTTTCATGTCTCATTCAAATTTGTAGCTCAAGTTCTTCCTTCAGAAACAATAAAGTGGAAATTCATATGCCCCAGAGATAAATTCAGGTATGGATATCCAAGGTCCCATCTGAGTCCTGTTATATTCCATCACTCAGAAGTGTACCTCTTGGCTTTAACTGCATCAATTCTTTCATCTTTATTTGTGTAGACCTGCTTTTCACTTCCTTGTTGGGGCAGCATTGATAGATAAGGCGTCTTAGAAGAATATCTCTCAATGAAGGGCAGCCCTTCTACAGCATCTGATCCTAAGCCAGTTTTCTTCCCTGGTGCTCCTTATTCTGTCTAATGAGAGGGCTGACTTTGAAACCTATGCACATATAGCAGACAAGTGGAAGGTGGGGTCATTCCTCCCTGAGAGTTCATCTTCTTTAGAAGAGAAAAAAGACTTACAGAAGCCACAGCCACAACCTCCACCTGTAGTTCAGCCTAATGAATAGATGAGTTCTTTTCCAGTCCAGCAATGTTGCATGTTGAAAGTGGAACCAGTGGATTTTATGGGGATGTGTCTTAACTGTGTTTTGTCCCACTTTGAGCCATGAGGAGAGGTGGGTAATAATTAAAATATCCTCCTCCTCTTCCTCATTATTGAAGTCAGTCCAGCAAGTTCTAATTCCCCTCTCTTTACTCACAAAAGTAATATCTAGAAAAGTATTGTGTGATTCAAAATCCTAATTTTCTCCAAACCGATGCTGCTATTGATGTTAATGTTGTTGGAATAAAGCTATATATGGCACCACTCACCGTCATCTGATTGGAGACATAAGCCTCCATAGCTCATTGCTTGGTGTGGATATAGAGGAGCCCTTCAACAGTGAAATGAATACATAAACTAAAACATAATGTAACAATCATTTTAATGTTGATCTGTTTTACAAAAATACACTTTTTGGAGAAGTCAGAGCTTTTTGTAAACAAATTAGACACTTTTACAGAGTTATCATTATTGCTTTTTAGCCCAAAAGACATGGATCAAAATTATTACAGGCAGTTTTTTTAAAAAATTCAAGTACACATAGACATTTTTGTTATAAAAAGTCACCAGGAAGCCATTTTATAATCTTTTGATAAAAATGCAATGAGTTGGACCTAGATTTAGGCCTATGTCACTGTAGGATCTGGTGCACACAAAGGCATATCCTGGATCTAACACGTCATAAGTGATCTTCTATCAGTAACAGTGCCCAATGGGTTGTATCCAGGATCTTTCTTTGCTGGTGGATAGATCAAATTAAAGAAAAATGCATCCAGCCATGGCAACCCTTCAGACCTCTGAATCATACCACCTATTCAAGCCCAGCTGAATAGCTGAGATGTAGTGCATGTGGAAACCCCTTCCCTTAAAGTGAATGGATGCCTTTTCGTTCAGTAAATCCCTTTCCTCGGCAGAGATTGATCATGGATCCAAACCACTCTAAGTGTTGTCCTAGTGCCCTAACATTATTCCTAAACATTCTTTCTTTTGTCAGCCCTGGTTTGCTTTAGAATAATATTATTCAAAGGCAACATACAATGAGCAAACCGAAATGCATTAAAACGCTTTTGAAAATTGGCACGTTCAGTCTGCAATACTCTCCATGAAGTACGTGTACATAGAAAAGAACTGGGCTTTTCAGTTCTTTTCTTCCACAGGGGAATGCTCTATAGAAGGCAGCTTGAAAGCTTAGTGAGAACACTACAGTGAATTTAAACATTTTAGAGCACAATCCATCTGGATACATTTTTCTGATCAAGAAAGCTTTTGAAGAGCTTTCCCTCATTACAACAGAGATTATGTAGGAGATATTTGTTTAAAATGTACTCTTAGATAAGAGAGCTCTGTCTTTTGGGTGGGAGAATCAATGACTAGAGAGATAGTTAGTTTGCAACAGACCCAAGTATAAACACCAACTTGATTTTTTCATATACACCTATCTTAAAGTTCAGTGATCCAAAAGGAGGTATGTTGACACATTTGCAACATGTCTAGTGGAAGGGTGAACAACTACTCAAGTTAGGGGATATCACTGAGTTTCAAAGTTTCTTGGGTTGCTTGAATCATAGGTATTTGAAGTAATACTAGTATGAGAAAGCATCAGCAGAAGAACCCCTTGAGGATTGGACAACTCTATAAGAACCTGTTGAAGATTAAAAGCTTTTCTTCATTATACATTTTGAAATATAGTATTCCCTTGAGTCTGACCTAATGCTATGCAGACAGTGATCTTGATTATATTTGATAATCAAAAAAGAACTAATGCTATACCCAGCTTGCAGATGCCTCTTAACTTTTGTCAGCAGTTATCACTTATATTATTTAGTAGAAATAACTGCAAATGGAACAAGCTTCATATGAAAAGCTAATACGTAGGAAATAGAAACAAAAGCATACTGCAAGGGGATTTTCTATATTTCCTGGCCAAGCCATAATTACTCTAATTGTAAAGACCTAATGTTAGAGATGTAAAGATTTCTCATTAATACTCACATTATTGATTGGGGAGGGGGGGAGGGTCTCTTGAAATTTGAAATGCTTAGCTAAGGAAGAGAAGAAAGGTAGCAAACATCTTTGCACTTTGAGGCCTTGTTTGGAAAAACTATTAATGATAAAATGATACAGGTCTTTTTGCACAGGAAACTTGTTTATTTTTCTGCAACGATTATTTCTCTGCTAGAGCTTCTGTATTTTGTATAAAATACCCTGATTTCTGTGCTAGAATATTGCTTTTTTCATACCAAAAGCTCATTTTCTGCACAGAAAAACTGTGTTTTTGCACAAATAAGCTTTCCTAATGTCTACACTGTACTTAAAATTGTGCAGAAACAACAGCAATGAACTGAGAGTGGAATGGAATGGCCACAAAATTTGATGATGATCCTATAAGGAGAAGTACAACATACTTCATTTAAATGGGATATAACAAATAACTACAAACCTGGTTTCATTTTAAAATATAATTTAGCATAATGTTTCATGTTATTCTATAAATTATTAGTTATAAGGCTTCAGAACCCTTCTTAACTTAGAGAATAAGCAAGATCATCTCTGGTTAGTATTCAAATGGGAGACCGCCAAAGAGTATCAGGTACTGTAGGGCATATTTCATAGGAAGGAAGTGGCAATACCATTTCTGAGTATTCCTTGCTTAAGAAAAAACCAAGAAATTAATGGGGGCACCTTGAAATCACATTCTTGAGAATCACCATTGAACTTTGGATACTCATGATAAGTCCAGAAGGCACTCTACCAAGGAGAAAAACATATTTTGCATTACATCTGCCCCGTTTTAAGTTGCTCTTTGACTATGATTAATGACAGCATTATGACAACTATATCAGACAACTAGAAGAGTTAATGATCCAATTAAAATTTTGAAATATATGCCACAAATATTACTTTAATGTGGATTTGCTCATGACATATTTATGAAGATAATTAAAAGTTTAGGAAGGCTGGGAAATCATAATTGCAGGATTGTTAATCTTGACTGATTTTCTCCAATTGATTTTAAATATGAAACATGAGGCTCAGTGTTAAATTTATATCACATTAGTTGTAACCATACTTTTAGTGCAGTACAGTTCTCTCCAACACAGAAAGACACAAATTCACATATGCCAGACTCTTAGCTGATTTTTCAAAGTACCTATGGTACACAATGTATACTACCTTCTTTTTGTTATTCTTCCTATATCTGGAAAAATGAATCAACTTTGACATTCTTTGATTTCATCTGAATAAAGATTGAATGTCTTACACTGCAAGCAGTCCTATTTATTTTATTTATTATTTATTTACTGTATTTGTATACCGCCTTTCTTAGCCTATCGGCGACTCAAGACAACTAAGATGCTCACTCCCTTCCACAATGTACAACTGCAACATGGAAGTAACCTAGCAGCACAGACAAATTTAGAGGACCCTTGGGAACTCCTCTTGCTTCACACTTTAGAGATGAACAAATTTAGAAAGATTGCACACTGTTTCAAGAATTGGTCCATGTCACAGAATGGCCCTCCTCAAGTTTCAGCCGAAGCTAAGAATCACTGCTCAATTTGGCGACATCTCCTACAAGAGCCATTTAATGGAGCTGATTTGATGGGAGAGTTGTGGCACAAGGTCATGGACACAGGTGAATGGCCAAAATGGGTCTGCTTTGACAGGGACATCCAGTTGCTTCACTTGCTTCATTATGTGGATATATACAGAGTGATGGCTGTCCACACCATCTGCAGCAGAGTCAAATGAGCATGACACAAATATCTGTCAGGGAAAGGCAGGGATATGTCCAATTTTTTAATGCATAACAAGTTGGATTGAAATATGAGAAGCCATTCTAACAGTGAAGCATCAGATAGTTATAAAGATCTAAAATAGACCACCAGAAATCCTATGTTGCTTTTTCATTCATTATTGTTCAACACTATAGTACAGAAGAGGAGTGATATTAAAGTTTAAATCTTCTTCCATATAGAAAAATACTATGTTTTAAAAATAATTTGCTAGTTCTGTATACAGCGGAAAGCCTTTTTTTTAATGTCGGGAAGCATGGATGCATCCCCTACTTGCAGTAAATCAGTTCAGGTTTATGTTCCATTTCTGGACCCAAGTCTAGAAGCTCAGACAGCTATTTAAAAAATGCTCAAAGTGCTGTGAAGATAACTTTTAGATGTGCATGTGATTGATGTATAGAAGGAAATTGATAGCTGCTTTGCTACAGCCCTTTGGCAGCAGCCGCTTCCTTTTAGATTTAAGGGATACATTATTGTCCTCCTGCTCCCCTTCTAGATCATCTTCATACCAAGAACTACAGGCGTTGTGCATGGCCCTCATCTCTGTTTTTATATTCATGCAGAGTGGATTATTTTGAGTCCAGCAACACTGTAAAATAAATAGTTTGACACCACTTTAGTTGTCACAGCTCAATGCTATGGAATCATGTGAACTGTAGTTTCATAAGGACTTTAGTTTTCTCTGCTAAAGAGTTTGGCATTTCAGCAAACTACAATTTCCACTGTGTCAAGCTGCAATGATTCTACAATGTAGATGCATCCCCTTGTGAGTGACCTAAGGTCAACCAGTGAGCTTCATTGCCAAGTGGAGAGTGCACACATTCCTTTCTTCAGTTGGAGTCTGGTAACACTATTCACTTCACCAAATTGGTTAGTTACCTGCTTGTCTGTAGATGGGAAGAAGTGTTTTTTCCCCCTAGCACTTTTCTAGGCAAGAGGGAAGCACCAACTCTAAACATCTGGATCTGTTTTCAAGATGTTGTCTGCCAACCTTCTGGCTTCTCTGACATACAGTTGTGGGATGATGGGCAAAGATACATTTTCCCCACTGACACTCATAGCACAGAGTTCTACATTTTAAAAGACTTTAATTTCTCATATTGAAACTATAACTCATGATCGTATGCTACATTGTTAACAGTGTGGTGCTTTAATATTTTTTTAACAAAAATATTTATAAAATACAAAATGACAACAAATTGATCCAAATGACCCTCACATGAGCAATGCATCTGAGCAAATATAAGATGAGTTGGATAGGAGGTTGGACTGGATGACCCTTGTGGTATCTCTTCCAACTCTATGATTTTAGGATACTTCATTATGCTATACAATGACCATTCTGACATTAAGCTGCCTTTCAAAAATAACATTACCACAAAAGTACTACACTTGATCTTAGTCAAAAGGCCAAAAAAGTATGAATTGTAGGCAATTTGGTTATTGTGGGGCATTGTGCCATTTTTTCAAACTCCGGCAACATTACGTTTTGAGTCAAACCTGTCCTATTGCAAAGCATTTTACAGTGGTTTAATCTTGAGTGGGTCATTAGAATCAGTTAACTTTACAAAAAAAAAAACCCCAGCTTTTTGTGGAGTTGGAAATAACTGACTATGGGAGCAAGTGTCTGCCTTAAGGATGGCAAAGATATTCGCAGACAATCTTCTGAACAAGTATATCTTGTGCCTGACTCGTCTTCTTTGCCAAATCTTCTTCCATGCTCTCTTCAAGATAGTAGGGAAGGAATGTATGACTTATGTTCTTCTGTACATTGGTACCTCTTATGATTTTCCTTCCCCAATTGTATGTACAGTAATATGATCATGTATCTTCAAAGAATAAGTTCCTTAAATTACCATGGTTAACAAAAACTGTGGATAATAGGAAATCCTATTGAATAAACAACTTCAAGAGGAAGCATACCATAAAACTCATCAGATGGAGGACCTTAATCTGGGGGACAGTGGGGGCATCTGTGGTGCAGCATAATGAATCCATCAGCCAGCAGGGCAAATTGTTAGGCAGTGCCCTGCATTGCTCTCTTGCCATCTCATGCTATTATCTGTTAGGTTCCAGATTGCTCCTGCATTGTCCCCAGCTTGCCTTATGAGAACACAGGTAGTCACCCATGTTCTCAGGACTGGCGCTTAGCACACTGCCACCAGGAGACATGATGTACCAACAGTACTACTGAAAATGGAGGTGAGTGCCCCCCACTCTACATTGCTGCCTTATTCTCTCAGGGGCGGGGGGGGGGGGTTGTAGCCTCACAGGTGTCACCATTTCCTATTCTTTTGTTTCTGGATAAGGAAATGGCTCACAGTTGCAACCACCTCCAGTCTCAGGGGAAATGATTGGAAGGAAGCAGAGTGAGGAAGCAACCAATGAAATGTCTGTAGCATGGCCACTTTTGATGCACTGCCTTGTTTCTGCCACATGTATATTTAAAAGATGACCTCAAAGCATGTTTCCAGCTCTTTGGGCTTCTTTTTAATATTTATATCTCTGGGCCGTAACTGTTCTATGTCTGTGGGAAATAGGGTCTCTGTGGTAAATATTGAACACTGAATATGTCAGAACTCACCATGGGAGCAAGGGCCAACAGAAGGCCAGTTTTCCATCTGTTAATGGCATTGGGCTATGTAGGCTGAGAATCTCATTATGCGAGACCCCCGAGAAACAGGAATTAGCATAGAAATCATGGTTTAAAAGAGTGAGAAATTAGTCTTCGGGCATCTATGGCCAACTTGACATGCAGACCTAGGCTCTGTTCACAGATGACGGTGAATGGCAAAAAGTAATTATATTTCCTTCACTGCTTAATAGGATTATCCCCTTTGTTTCTCATGTGGCTATCTGCATACACAATGGCACAAAAATTAACCTGAAATATTTTATGCTTGGCAGCTCCAGGGCCTTACTTTCATCATTGGAAATTCACTATAATGGCATGACATTGGCTTGAATTGGGAAACAATTCACTGTATTCTAAAAAAATCTCCCATAGAGTTCTGTATAGGGGCCAAATTAGATGGCCTATTAAATGTGTATTTCACATATCTTATTTTAACATTCAAAATACAAGCAATCAAGATTAGTCCATCATTTGTGCATACAAAAGGAAGGGGAATTAACATTTTTTTCTCTCTGTGCTGCCAATGAAACACACACACACACATCCTGAAAGACCATAAGTTACAACCTCCCATGATATAAATGCAAGTTTCCTGGGGAGAAATGGAGTTAACTATACAGCTACTATTTCACTGTGGACATTATGAAGGGGACACATGGTTTTCCTAAGTTTTAAAAAGTGCATATGAGCACCTTTCTCTCTGTATGGGCAGCTGAGCTGAGATGGTATTGTAGCATCTGAGGTTCCTGCAAACCATTAATACCTGCTTTCAGTAAAAAGTTATGCATTTGCTTAGAGAGATAAATAAGCTCTTGACTGAAGAAGAAGAAGAAGGAAAAGAAAAGAGAAGCACAACATTGCTCCATCTGTCCAGTTGTGGTTCAAGGCTCTGGGTCTGGTGCATTATGAGAGCCTTGAGGAAGAGGAGACACTGAGTATCTGAAAGCTCAAGTTCCATCATGTGCCTTTGGTTAGGAGGCATCAGTGTCAGGGCTTGGCTGCTTAGCTTTAGCATTTCTCACCCAAAAATAGCTGCCACACCAGGTGCAACTTTCCCCACCGTGTTCAGTTTCATCCGTGAAAAGCCCCTCGAATAAGTCTGCTGCAATGGAAAACAAAATACAACTCAGGATTGCTCTCTCTCTCTCTCTCTCTCTGCCTCTTTCTCTCTCCCCCCCCCCCCCATAAACAGCATGTCCCAAAATTAAATATACTCATATACTCTTTAACAGTTAATAATAGCTATAGTGCAGGCATGTAGCCGGGGGGGGGGGGGGGGCGGGGGGGGGGGGGCTCGAGGGGCTTCAGCCCCCCCCGAAATTCTCATGGTAGTTCGTGAGAAGGCCTTACTGGTGCATTATTTAAACTGTTATGTTTATTCATATCATGATCTGATCACCATACTCAATATATCCCATATGCATGGGGGTATTGGGGTAATGATACAATAGGTTTGCTAGGGTAGACCCTCTTTCACTCAGACTCAGCCCCCCCCAAACTCAGCCCCCCCGCTCCCCCCCCCCGAATCAAAATCCTGGCTACGGGCCTGCTATAGAGGTTATTTGAAGGCTATACCAATATATTTATATTTAAGAATAAATGTTATAATTATGATTTAGTCATGATTGCAAATTCCAATTTAAATTGGATTATACATAAAGTGGCCATTTTTGTCATTCCTGTGCAGTAAAGCATTGTTTGAATTGCTGAAACACAGTTATAAACCTTATTGAAAATTTCTATTGTAATTTCATGCCATTTTCTACTACTGGGATCTTTCAGGCTGCTAAAGGTGTACATAATTTTAAAATTGCAAATAATAATAATAATAGCCCAGGTGATTCACTGGAACTTATGTCACAAGTACCACCTTCCAGCAGTAAAGAATTGGTGGGATCGTAAACCCGCAATGGTCATGGAAAATGAACATGCAAAAATACTGTGGGACTTTCGAATGCAGACTGACAAAGTTTTGGAACACAATACACCAGACATCACGATTGTGGAAAAGAAAAAAGTCTGGATTATAGATGTTGCCATACTGAGTGACAGTCGCATTGAGGAAAAACAACAGGAAAAACTCAGCTGCTACCAAGACCTCAAAATTGAACTGCAAAGGCTCTGGCATAAACCAGTCCAGGTGGTCCCAGTAGGCATTGGCGAAAAGATCTCAACCGGTATTTGGAAACAATGAACGTTGACAAAATCACGATCTGTCAACTGCAAAAGGCCACCTTACTTGGATCTGCGCGCATCATTCGAAAATACATCACATAGTCCTAGACGCTTGGAAAGTGTTCGACTTGTGATTTTTTTATATGAAAACCAGCATCTTGTTTGCTGTGACATACTATTCTTTTGTATCATTAAAATAAATAAATAAATAATGATAATAATCCAGAATTATAAACTGCTTATGGTGTATAGAATACATTTTTGGGACACGCTGTATATACAGGCACAATTTCAGTATAAACATTTTTGTTTGGAGTGCAAAGACATTACCTACAACTGTGCTATTACCAGTCCAGCATTTGTGCAAGGTCCTCAGCTGAATCAATGTCCACAAAGCTTTTAAAGAGACAAGTGTTTCTCCCTTTCTCTGTGCTGCAAAAAGGATAAAGGCATCCATTACAAAACAGCAGTACAGAGACAGCATACAGTCATGTTTCACTTCATTGCAGTTGCCAATGCCTATCTCTCACAAATTTCATAAGCTAAATAAAATGCCTAGCCATGAAACCAGGCTTATGTTTTCACCTCAAAGACTTTTGGGGCTTGGTCGGATTATGGTTGTAATTCCTTAAACCCAGAGAACACAGCGCTTTATGTGTCAAACATTTAACTTCTTGTGTTTGCTAATAGAATATTTTTATCTTTTCTTCCTGCTCGGTGCAAAATAAAAGACACAATGAAACTAGCTGTGCTCTCTGTCTCTCCCCCCCCCCACTCTAAAGTAAACCTCAAGACAGGAGACCCCCCCTTCCCAAACTACAGGTAAAATGAGATAAAAGAATGGTACATAAAAGGTATGTAACTTTAAGTAACACGACAGGTGACATTGGTAAGAATGCAAGAAGCAAGGAAGAAATTCAAATACTTTTTTTCCAGCTACAAACGAAGCAAAATGCAGCAAGCTATTTACATACACTGACACAAAATGTGTGAGTCTGTTTTAAAGAGCTTTAACATGATCAGAAATATCAGACCGGGGTATCTATACATCCTCCCCTCATGTAGCCCAATTTCCCACTTGGTCCACTCAAGTACTGGCTCTTATAATTGCAAAGCAACCAAGTTTGGGTCTGCAATACATGAAATCATTTTTCTTTAATGGCCAAAAAGGGAGTTTATGTTGCTATGAAAAGGTTGTCCCTCCCACATTGAATCCAACCCCATTTCCCATTGGCCTCCATCTTGGGGTCAGTGAGTGCCAGAGGGCAACCTTACCTGTTTCCTCTGGCTGCTCAGACAGAAGGTGCAGATGGGCCTGGGTGTTGCTGGAGTGCTGCCGCTCTGCAGGACAGCCTGGTATTGCAGGCAGGGCTGCATAGGTTCCTCTCCCAAGCTCCCACTTTGTGATTGCTGTTGATGCTGTTGTAGAAACAGCATGTTAGCCAGGTGTGAGATGTAGCTTGAGGCCAGGCGCAAGGTCTCTATCTTGGACAGCTTGCGATCTGCTGGCTCGGTTGGGATGAGTGTGCGGAGCGCAGTGAAAGCAGTATTCACACTGTGGGTCCGGTCCCTCTCCCGGGCGTTGGCAGCTTGCCTCTGCCTGCTCAGGCCACACAACCGAGGACTCTTGCGCTTGCGTTTGCCTTGGGCACCGGTGGAAGGCAGGGATTTCCCAGAGCTGCTCTCGCTGCTGCCACTCTCCAGCTCCTCTGGGTCGGATGCAGCACCCCCGCTCGACTTCATGCTGAGCCCTGCAGCCCCTCGGCCCCATCACTTTTATGCACAGCAGCTGCCACATTGCTCTGGTTCACATCAGCCGCTGCTCTCTCTCAACTCCCCTCCAGCAGCAGGGTCATTTTTTGAATGGTTGCTCCTTTTAGATCTAGCATATGGTCTCCCTGTAAATAAGGCAAAGGAGGTGGAGCTGCCACCTCAAAGTAGCTGCTGGGCAACTGCAAAGCTGTGCACCTGTTTCCCCCTTGTCATGGAAAAATGTGCAAGCCCTTTGGGCAGTCACTCTGAGCATATGTGGTGGGGAAATGAAGGCCTTTCTTTCCCTTTGCCCTCTATTTAATGAAATGGATTCATGTTCTCTCAAGGGCTGGAGCAATACTGACACCTCCCCTTCTCTCAGCTAGCATTTTCAAGTCTCAGTATCTATTTTTGGATCTTGGTCCACCAGACCACAAATAAATAAGCTAGCCAGCCTGCCTTCCTTCCTTCCTTCCTTCCTTCCTTCCTTCCTTCCTTCCTTCCTTCCTTCCTTCCATCCATCCATCCATCCATCCATCCATCCATCCATCCCAAATGGCAGAACATGCATAATGCAAAAATACTCTTTATACATTGTAATCCTTTAAATATATTGCATACATCCAGAAGTATAACTGATATGAATTTCTCAGAGACATTTCCAAAGCCTCAAGCTTCCATCTCCTCGGTTATATACTTGGTGTTGCCATGGACCAAGGGCTTGCATAGCAAACACTACAGGTATTTTTTTAATTAAACCTTGACTTCAAAATATATGATTACTGCCTTCAAATGCAGACATCATTAGCTCGCCAAACTATTCAGAACGCCACTGTTGAACATACAGCCTTTCCCAAAATATTGTTGGAGAAACAACTCAGACAGCCTCATTCACAGATAAGGCTTTGCCTTATTTTTTTTGGAGTATGCACAAGAATACTAATCCCACACATTATTTAAAAAGTATCTGATGGACATCCTATCTCTATATGTTTGACTGAAGGATTCAGGTTGTCAACTGTAGTATACCCTTCAACATTTCCACGTGGGAAAGTAGGAACATGGAATCTTTTAAGTAGAGGCTAGATGGCCATCTGTCAGGGGTGCTTTGAATGCAATTTTCCTGCTTCTTGGCAGGGGGTTGGATTGGATGGCCCATAAGGTCTCTTCCAACTCTATGATTCAATGGCCAAGCAATGTCAGAGTGTGTTCAACATAGTAAAAGTTATTCATGAAGAAGAATGGACAAGATAATAAAGGCGGCAGCAGTTTGCCTTTCCTTTCTTGCTAAACAGAGTAGTAACTAACAATCTGTTACTGAGCACAATTCAAAATGCTGGCTTTAGCCTATAAAGCCCTAAAGCTGGGTTCTGGCCCAGCTTATCTGTCCGAATCTACCTCTCTCTATGAACCACAGCAGAGTTTAAGATTATCTGGGGAGGCCCTGCTCTCAGTCCCGCCTCCCTTGCAAGTGCGATTAGTGGAGAAGAGAGACAGGGCCTTCTAAGTGGTGGCCCCTTGGCTGTGGAACTCGATCCCCAGGGATATTGGATCAACCCCCTCCCTCCTGACCTTCTGTAAGAGAATGAAAATGTGGCTTTGTGACCAAGCCTTTCGAGAACTTGTGCAATAGATTGACTTGGAATAATGTGCAATGCCCATTGGAATGGCCCAGATTACACTTGTGGATTTCATGTTGAACTCTGAATATATTGTTTTTAAATGTTTTAATTGATTTTAATGTACTTTTTAATTCTATTTTAATATTTCTTTAAGTGTACATTGTGTTTTAAGGCATCGAATCATTGCCTGTATATAAAGCTGCCTTGAGTCCCCTCCGGGGTGAGAAAGGCAGAATAGAAATTCTGTAAATAAATAAATAAATAAATAAACTGCTTTAGTACTCCAATTCAATTTGGAGTACTAAAGCAATTGAAGTAAGCGGAATATGGGAGAAAGTGGAATGGGAAAAATTAATCCTGCCAAATCAGGACAGTTTGAGGGGATGCTGAAAGGCCATCTCTTTCCAGCAACTTTACAGATACATTTGGTTGAAAGGATCCAACCAAACATGACCAGAACAAAAATAAGGATGCAAAGAATAAGACCAAAAAATTAAAAAGGGAAAATATCAATTTAATAATATAATAATATAAACATCTAAACACTGCAAATATATCATTTAAAATGCAGCAGAGACACAAGAGACTAGCAGAATCACATCTCTAACATGAAAGAATAATAGAGCAATCCTCAAGAGAAATGGAAAAAAACAAATGTCCTTAAAAAACTTAAGTCTTCCTTAAAGTCATATTGTACATTTTGCTTCAGAAACCAAACAGTTACAGTAAGCTGAGAATCATAATACCCTCAGGTGAGACTATTCAAACACTGAGAAACTCCTCTGGGCATTAAATGTTCAGTCGAAAAGTTAAAAGAATTCGCATTGAACTCTTATCTATATCAGATTCCTTCCCAGATTTCTTTCTTTTTAAAAAGAGCATGATTATTCTGAGCAGAATGGTAGCAAGCAAAGACTGGTTACAATATTTTTAATTTTATAGCTTTTTTGTGTGTGGTTTTCACTATAGCCCTTCCATTCTGGTGTGACTTTGCTGGATTTTCAGCCATTTTAAATGTTTAGATGTTTACATTACTTTCTCTTACTACATTCATTTAGTGCAGCAAAATACCAGTGAGGTGATTTCTTCCTCCAATAGCTCATTTTATATAAAATAAGTAGGAATGCAAGTGAAATACCTCAGAGAATAAAGAATAGTAATTGAGCTAGGCTTATTTTTTTTAAATCAAGTCATATTTTTTCTGTGCAATCTATTTTTAAAATTGCAGCCATTTGGAGAAAAATAAATTTCTTACATTTCTATTGTTACATATATGAGATCAAAAAGGAAAGGAAGTACAGCTCATGAAATCAAAATGCAATCATATGTATATCTGCCTAGGAGTAAATCCCACTGATTTGAATGAAATTCATTTCAATTAAAAAAAAAAACCCCGCTGAAAAACAGTGCCATAATTTGGAAAAATAAAGAGTGGGAGAGGCAATTCTAGAGACCTGTTTATCATTAAATGGCTTTGTCATTTTCACAAAACAGTGGGTTCAGTTTTTCCAGGGCTGGATTAAACTCTTATTTATTTATTTTACTTCTTTACAGTATTTGTATGTCACCCTTCTCACCCCGCAGGGGACTCAGGGCGGATTACAATACACATATATATGGCAAACATTCAATGCCAATTAGACATACAACATATATAGACAGACACAGAGACAATTTAACATTCCAGCTTTTTGGCTTCATGAGGGTATGCTCGATTCCGGCTCGATTCCGGCCACAGGGGAGCTGTCACTTCACCGTCCATTTGTGACACTGAGTCCTTTGATGGAGTACTTCAGTTTTCTGCATGCTGCTGGAAGGTTTTATGGCATCGTAAATTAGTTAAATTGGCCTCCACGCATAAAGCAGTACATAAATTTCCCACTTGACAGATGTAACTGTCTTTCGTGCTGCATAGGTCCACAGCAAACTAGACTAATGGCCGGAAGCTCACTCTGACCCGAGCTGGCTTCAAACTCATGACCCCTCAGTCAGTAGTGATTTAATGCAGTTAGCTGCACCACAGCCCGGTCTTGCCTTTTACTACCTTACTCAGAGAAGGGGTGGTTCCTTTCTTGATATGAAAGAATAACCAAGGTTTTTTTTCCTGATTTTCTGGCTAGGTTTTTTAGATATATATAGGGTCATGTGGAGGAAAACACTCCTGCAGCCACTTTTCCCCCCTTGAGCCTACTGGAAAGGGCAAAATTCCTCCCTCTTTTCTCCTTTCCATGCTATTGAGTGTCACTGAGTACGCTCCACACTTTTGGAGTATGTGTGAACAGCTGGGCTAATTCTGAACTTGACCAATGATAGTTGCTACAACAGTCATCATTTCCTCTCTTGCCAAGTATTATTACTGCGTACTCAATGCCAACTTTTATGCCTTTTTCAAAATATGTGTTCTTCAACCTAGTATTTATTCAAAGTCCATCATTTGTACTCAATTATTATGTTTCTCTTTTACAAAAAACAAAAAAACCCTGATGGCACCACACCATTTTGAACTCCACATCATCCAGTTTTTCCAGGCTGAATAGTGTGACAAGCACTTAGGCTAATTGGCAGTAATAAACAGCCCTTTTTATTTGGCCCTTCAGAAGATTTTTGGCCTTGTTTGTCTCAATATTAATCTATTTCCCCACATTAGTGTTGGAGTACCAGAGGTTCTTTCCTTTTATCACAAATGCAAATGCTTCAAAATGGGCAGCTGTTCTGACATTCTTGGCCTAGAGTCATGCCATCATTCTGTCCTCTCACTAAGAGTGCTAATGCTTGTCTGTGTTTTGCTTGTCTGTTGATACACAATAGATTCTCAGTCACAGTTTGGCATGTTCATCATGCTAGACAGAGATGTTTAGTATGTCCTATGGTATTTAGTAGAAAGTTTGCACTGTAGACTGTACAGAATAAAGCTACTGTTGTAAATTGTGGTTAATATGGTAGCACTTCTGGTACAAAATATTATAATAATAGAAGTGACTGATTTACAATAGGAAGAGTTCAAGATCTACACTGCACTCTTTCATTTCTGTGCATATTAAGTCCCTTTGCTCAGTTTTCAGAGATACCTTCCCATGATTCACTCTATTCAGCAGGGTCAACTGAATTTGTATATCACTACAACTCCCAGAAATCCCAACCATTTTATCAACTGTTAGGATTTCTAGGTGTTGAAAGCCAAAACATCTGGGGAGCCACAGGTTGAGAACCATTGCTAGCCTAACTTGTTTCCTGCCTGTCTATTTTTTCAGTGAGGGCTATTGACCTGAGCAGGGTGTGGTTAAATAAACAACAACATTGTATTGTCGAAGGATTTCATGGCAGGAATCACTGGGTTGTTGTAGGTTTTTTCAGGCTATATGGCCATGTTCTAGAGGCATTCTCTCCTGACGTTTAGTCTGGTGGTTGTTAGAGTGGTCCAGTACTTCTGCAGGAGTCTACCGTATACCACACAGCTGTGGACAAGTCTACATAAGGACCACCAAATGCAGCATTGCCCAAACATGAATCAAGGAACATGAAAGGCACTGCAGACTACTTCAACCAGAGAAGTCAGCCATAGCAGAGCACCTGATGAACCAACCTGGACACAGCATATTATTTGAGAACACAGAAATGCTGGACCACTCTCACAACCACCATGTCAGACTACACAGAGAAGCCAT